TGGGGTGAGGTTTGTCCCCACTCTCCTATCCTTCTGCAACAGCCTGAAGACCTGACCCTGCCGGATGACCTGGGTACTCACAGGCGAGTACATCTTTGGAGGTAGCTATTGGTCTAATTAGCTGACCCCACCTCCCTGCTGCACTTCCTGCTTCCCCCCTGCTTCCCCTCTGTCCATCTTTTTATTTCATATTATTGTACTTCCCTTGTTTATTTGTATTGTTTATCCCTTTGCTATTGTTACATTTATATTTTTTAAACTTTCCCCCCCGTTTTATTGCTGTAAACTGCCCAGAGTAAGCCCATAGTGAGATGGGCAGCAAATACATTTAACAAATAAATAAATAAAATAAAACTTGCTGGAATTCTTTTACAGCAAACTCAGACTTGAGGCCCATATAAATTACACTAACTGTTTGGCTAGTTAAATTCTCAATTTAACAGAATACTGAAAATCATGCTTTTGAAGATTAATGCACTCAATTTTTCCAGAGTACCCTCTGTACAGTACAAACCTGGAATTGTCTGATTCTTGGTGCTTACAATGCAAAACTGTTCTAATTGATAGCTAAACTTGATCTTTCTCCTGCTTTTTTCTTAGATAACGTATTAGAAAGCTATGAATAACTACAATCACAGTCTAATTACAATGGTTGAAAATAGCTATCCTGAGGAATACCGAATTTCATCACTCGTCTTCTACAGCTTCATTTTTACAACTGGCTTAGTTGTAAACATTACAGCTCTCTGGGTCTTCAGCTGTACCACCAAGAAGAAAACAACTATTACTATCTACATGATGAATGTTGCGTTGCTTGACTTGTTGCTTATACTCACCTTGCCTTTTCGAATGCATTATTATGGGAAACGCTCTTGGATCTTTGGAGATGTCTTCTGCCGGATTCTTAGTGCTTTCACTATTTTTTACCCCAGCATTGCAATATGGCTGCTAGCTTTTATAAGCATTGATAGATGTCTGGCTGTTGTTCAACCCAAATATGCCAAGAAACTCAAGAACACAAGCAAAGCTCTGATGGCTTGCACAACACTTTGGATCTTAACTCTTGTGACAACTTCTCCCCTGCTTTTCTTATATTCTGATCCAGACAAAACTTCAAATTTCACTACCTGCATAAAGATGATGGATATTATCTACCTAAAGGAAGTCAATGTGTTAAATTTTTCTCGGTTAATATTTTTTTTCTTGATTCCCATATTTAATATGCTTGGTTGTTATCTAGTCATCATTTATAGTATAATTCGTGGAAGAACTTCCAAGCTAAAACCAAGGGCTAAAGAAAGATCGATCAGAATCATTGTGACACTAATTACCCAAGTGCTTGTGTGTTTTGTGCCTTTTCACATTTGTTTTACATTTCTCATGCTCCAAAATGGAGAAGCAAGCTACAACCCTTGGGGAGCATTTACCACCTTCCTCATGAATCTCAGCACATGTCTAGATATAATCCTTTACTACCTAGTTTCTAAGCAATTTCAGGCCCGAGTTATCAGTGTTATGCTTTATCGTAATTATCTTCGAAGTGTTCGGAGAAAAAGTATACGGTCTGGTAGTATGCATTCATTAAGTAATATTAACAGCGGGATCATATAAAGCAAGTAAAGCAATACAATACAATACAAATACATTTCAAAGCAATACCATATACATGTGCTAAGTAAAGCTTAGAATAAACTCAAATTTCCAATAAATGTATTATGTTTGAACAGGAAAGTTTTTATTATTCGTCTTTTAAATTGGTTTTTTTCTTTGAAAAAGAAATTAGTCTAGCTTGAAATGCATAATCATTTCTGCCTCTTTCATATTAATATATTCCATTTTCCTTCATTATTTATTCCAGCATTATTTTTGCTACTGAGGTTTCAGCTTCATAACTTCTATGAGTTGCACAATTTATTAAGAAGAGAGCGATACAAATGTATATATGTATGTATGTATGTATGTATGTATGTATGGTATTCAGCTTTGTTCGGGTATTTTCTCACATCATTATAGTTGTGCTTTTAAAGTTGTAGCAATGTTTCGGCAGAATCTCATCTGCCATCATCAGGCTTCTGTATTGTGACTCACAGATGAACACAATACAGAAGCCTGATGATGGCAGATGAGATTCTGCCGAAACGTTGCTACAACTTTAAAAGCACAACTATAATGACGTGGGAAAATACACACACACACACACACACACACACACACATGCAGGTCTTGGCGTGTTCGGGTGTTTTCCCGTGTAAGATTGAGAGTATCTTGGCAACGTTTCGACAAGGTCCCACTTGCCATCTTCAGCCTGGTGCTTTTGGCTTCGTGCTTGTGCGAGCAAAGCGTGATCAGAGCTGCCATCTCCCTATATATACTGGTGGGGAGGTTGGCTGTGTTATCATTTCTTGATTGGTTGATGGAGTTGAAGTTTGCAGATTGGCTGGCTTTTTCTTAAGAACATGTGTGGCTGAGGTATTGGCTGTGTGTCTATCAGCCTCCTGTGTTGTAATGACCTGGGTAATGGGCTGTGTGATGATCTTCTGAGTTCTATTGTTTTGACATCTTGGGTCTTGTGCTGTAATCTCCTGGGTCATTGGCTGTGTTGTAACATCCTGAGGTTTTGTGGTGTAACCTCCTGAGTTCTGTGATGTGATATCCTGAGCGGGTGGCTGTGATGTGACGTTCCGGGTTTTGGTTTGGCTCCGAGTTTGAGGCCTGGCTATGTGTTCATGGTGTGTGTCAGTTTGCTTGGTTTGGGGGTCGGGGTGTGTGGCAGGTGGTGATGCAGCCGTGGTCTGGTTTCTGGATGTTGGTTGCCTTTCGTCTATGGGGTAGGTTTGGGTTTGAGTCTGGTGAGGGAGATTGGTGGTGGCATCATGTGTTGTTTCGGGTCCGGTGTTGATTTTCATGGCTGGGACTCATTTGTTGATAAGGGCTAGTTTCCAAATATCTGGTAGGCGGGAGGTATCGTCCCGTTTATTCATGTTATGGGGATGTTTCTCTATTTCGATGGCTTTCCTGATTATTCTCTTGTTGAAGTGTTCAGTATTGGAGATTAATTTGGTTCCCTCAAAATTAATTTCATGTCCTGTGGCTTTAAGGTGCTAGAAAAAGAATGCACAAAGCACGAAGCCAAAAGCACCAGCCTGAAGATGGCGAATGGGACCTCGTCGAAGCGTTGCCAAGATACTCTCAATCTTACACGGGAAAAGACCCAAACACACCAAGACCTGCATATCTGTACCTGTGAAAATCTATGAATATTATACATACATACATACATACATACATACATACAATCACATGATTTCAATGTTTACAGTATTGGAAGGGGGTGGGAATTCCATATTTCTAAATCAAGTGTTTCATCTTTAATAAAAATTTAAGTCTTCATGTGTACATCCCTTAAGGCAAAATGAAAAAATCTCCAACATACTAATGAGTTTTAAATTACTTCTGGGAATCATTTACATGTGCTTTCATTTGTTAAAACAGGTGGCTATCTCCTCAATGCTATGGTCAGACTGATCTAGTTCGTACATGGGGAACAATCAGGAAATTCACTGTTGTAAACCTTATTGAAACATAAGTGGGGAATCTCAGAAAAAGGCAATACCAAGCCATTTCTGTATTAGTGGCAAGAAAATAATATGGAGATGTTTTTAACTTGGGGAGATATTAGTTTACTTATGTGCCAAGACGAATGCATATTCAGGTGTTACTGCACACTGCATATGTTACTGTGCATCTAGTATTATAATATAGATTTTGTTATCATTTTTATTATTGAACAGCAGAGAGGGGAATGTCTGGGCTCAAGATACTTTGCATCTGCAATAATGCTGAACTGAACACCAAAGCTCTTTCTCCTGCCAAGTAATATGAAAAAAAATAAAGAAAATGATACTTAATGTAGCACAGCTAAAATGGAGACATGGAAGAAAATGCCTAACAATGCGTCAAATAAAACACTTCTTCTGAATAAGAGAATTTAAATAATGCTTAACAAGATATTAAATGTAAACTTGAATTTAGGGTTTCCATCCTGGAACAGAACCTGGCTGATGAAGCAATAAAAGTAAATTCGTAGAGAAACTTTTTGTATTGCAAATTCTGATACAATACAGGTGTCACCAGTTTAACATCAAATAGAATGTGTTCCCAAATGTGTTCTCAAATGACTGTCACTGCTATAAAGAAAGTTATCAGCTGTTTTTTGTCTCAAATACAATCATATCCTCTTTATAATCACTCTGCTTACTGTGACAACTGTTGGCAACTAATAGCTCAGCCAATCTGACTTCGAGCTTATCCAGTCATGATTGGCTAACACAATAAATTTTGGAGATCCAGAGTTGAATCCAAAGGCATCCGTTAACTGGTAAAACAGCATCTGGAATTAATTGTGCTATTTATCTGTATTCACCCTAAATCTGCTCCAGAGAATCAGATGACACTTCAGAGGAGATCTGTGAGATTGCTTGGTGGCCTTACAAATTTGATAAACAGTAAAGGGGAAAAGCAGAACACCTATCAATGAATATGCCGCACAGATTCAAATCATTAGCAGTATAGATATACAGTATTAAACTTACATTTGAGAATGCAGCATTCTGAAGAATTTCATTTCTCTTCTGGGTGGGGAGTGAGCTTCTCCAGACCTTCCCATTCTGGGGCAATTGACAGTTTCCAGAAATAAAACCTCCAAGCCAGATGTTGGTCAGAGCCCTTAACAGGTTTGCTATGTCCAGGAGATTGAATTATTTCTGATTCAGAAGATTTATCTGAGAACTGTTAAACTACCTCCAGAACAGCAAGTTCTGAAATTCTAAAGAGAGAACACAGAGTTCTATAGTTCTAAAGAACATTCAGTTGCTGAATAGCTGAATTTCACACAACCCAAATTAATAATACTAAACATTTCATTTTTATAAATTTCAATAGCCCTAGAAATAATATTTAAGATACAAAGAGAGATGAATGTCTCTTAACAGTAAACTTACAATCCTGAAGGCAAGCTGCTGATGTTGAGGTCAAAAGAATATTCAATAGCTTCTACCAGGACAAAATCAAACATCACTGATAGCATCCAGGAGCCCAGTAAAAATGACTGAAAAAATAAAAATTAATAATCACAAACTGTCCACCTTTTATAACAAAAAAAATATCCATTAAAAAAATACAATGTTGAACTAAATCTAAAGATACAACATTTGTGTGGAGAAATTAGAATTGCAAAATTAGACCACATTCTACCAAACAAAGATTTTGGAGTAATGAACCTGCAGAACTGAATGCTCAGGTTACTGATAAAATAAGAGCATTTCTATTGCAGGAACTGTGTCTGATTTTGCCTAATAGTCAGTCATGTTAGGCAATGAGTCTTAATGCTGCATTATCTGTGAACCACAAAAGTCCCACAGGATTGTAGTGGGAAATAATGAGTTAATAAATATCAAGAGAATATAATAGCAACATTAATGGCATCAACATTTAAATCATGGATGTCCAACTTTTTGGCCTGCCTCAGCTGTATTGAGTGATGAGAAATTGTCTTAGATCGCATATAAAAATATAATAAACATATATAAATTACATATTAATGTTTATGATCTTGTGGGGTTGCATTACTAGCTGTTCAGGGTTGCACATGGCTCATGAGCTAGACCTGCTTGATTCAAACTCTAGCAGATGGAATAAATTCTAATGATCTTCCCAGCCGTTGATACAGCTCCTAGTGAAAAGAGATCTTTCCATTGTTCAAAGACCTTCAAATTAGGATCATGGAACATCAATGGCTTAAATCTAGGAAAGCTGAACACTGTTAAGAACGAAATGAATAGGTTCAACATACTAGGCATCAGTTGAAGTTCTTTGAACTGGCTGTGGCTTCTTCAACTCCGATGGTCATATCATATACTACTCTGACAATGATACCATCAGAAGAGCAGTGGGTTTCATACTAAAAAGAACCACAGAAAGATTTCAAGCAGTCAGTGATGAGATTATGGCAATACATATCAATTGATACGGATAGAGGCACAGAGGAGGTCAGCAAGGCTGCTTGCAAGGAAGCAGCCCTGCCCCTCTTCACAAGGAGGGAAGGTGTGTTTGTCGGAAACACCTGTTCATTTTGGATGTGCTTCTTCCTGGCATTCCTGGATCCTGTTCCTTGAACTTCAGACTATGTTTTTGAACTCTGAACCTTGGACACTTGTGGACTTGGACTTGGCTCTCAGACTTTGCACTCTTGGAGTGTGCTTTGGTTGTTGGAACTCTGGACTTGTTGGTATTGTTACCTCCCTCTTGCCTTGTGGCCCGGCTGGGACCTAGTTTGTAAATCCAGGGAAAACTGAGGGCTCAAGCGGAATTTCTCCATCACCATTGGTGGGTGGATTGTCACTGTGGTGAGTAATGAGCAGACCTGCCTTGTCTGTGTGACTTGGGTCAGAACATCCAATACCAAAGAAAGGTGACATGAAAGACTGTTTCAACCACCAAACCAAAGCCTTGATATCACAGGTAAGTAAAATTCTCTTGAAGATAATCCAGCAACGTTTGAATCCAACCACCAAGAGGGAACTGCCTGATGTACAAGCAGGATTTCAGAAAGGAAGAAGAACACATGATCATATTGCCACTCTATGTTGGATGATGGAAAAAGCAATGGAATACCAAAAGATCTCTACTTCTGTGCTTCATTGACTACATAAAAGCCTTCAATTGTGTTGACCATGACAAGCTCTGGAACTGCCTCAAAGAACTGCAAATATCACCAGACCACATCCTGCTCATTCAGTCATTCTGCTGTGATCAGGCAGCCAGAAATATGGACACACAAAATGGTTCAGAATTGAAAAAGGCACTTGTGGCAAGGTTGCATTCTGTCACCTATACTAGTCAACATGTTATGAGAAATGCACATTTGGAGGAATCTACCATTGGGGTTAAAATTGGTGGTAGGAATATCAACAACCTCAGATACAACACGGAAAGCAAGAATGATCTGGAATGGTTAATTCTGAGAGCCAAAGATAAAAATGGAAAATTCGGACTGCACGTTAACATCAAGAAAACAAAGGTAATGACAACTGTAGAGACACACAGGTCAGACTGCAGACGATCTAAGCAGTAAAGGAATTGATTTTCCTGAGCTCTAAAATCAACCAAAATGGTGACTGTAGTGTGGAGATCAGAAGGTGCATAGCACATGGAAGAACTACAATATCTGGCATGAATAACATCTGGAAGAGTAAAGACAAATGCCTTACAACCAAATGCAGATTAGTTAATGCAATAATTTTTTTCAATTGTTATTTATGGCTGCGAAAAAGGCTGATAGGAGAAGGGTGGGCGCCTCTGAACTGTGGTGCTGGAGGTGACTATTATGCACCCCATGGACTGCAAAAATAATAAAGAATTCCTAGACTGAACCTCACCAAAAATATCACTTGAAGCCAAGATCACCAAACAGATATTTTTTCATGAGAGCTGACTCCCTTGAAAAGTCAATCATGCTGGGAGTGATCAGTGGCAAAAAAGAAGGGGCCAACCTAATACCCGCTAGCTGGACACTATAAAAGATGACACTGGGATGACCATGAAGGATCTGACAGAAGCAGTGTAAGGCAGACAGGCATAGAGAGTGGTGATCCATAGAGTGACCGAGGGTCAGACACAAATGAATGGCTGATGACAAGAGTTTTCACTCTCTGAGAACCACAACCAGATATATGTTATGCATTAATTTCACTTACAATGCATAAATTATCTGTGACTCTTCCAAGGCATTCACAATGGAATGGAATGGACAGTCCAGGTAGTTATATCTATACTACATGTGGCCTACGGGCCACATGTGACCCTGGACAACTAGTAATGTGGCCCCACAAGATAATAAAAAATAAAGGAAGTCTGTTATTTATATACATTAACTATATATTTTATATGCAAAAAGACAACTCCTCTTCACTCAATGCGCCCTGGCAAGTCAAAAGGTTGTACAACCATGATCTACACTGGTCACAAAATATTTAAGCAGCATATTATTTTGCTACATGCCATTTTCATCTAGTAATTTATTAAAACTACAGTGCTTTTAAAGCTAATTGAAGCATTTTAATGCTAACTAAAGAAAGAGGTAACCATACTGCTTATGAATTGTAACAAATATATGGAATTAGTCTACAAAATGGTCACAAGCCTTGGCTTCAAATGATAAGCACAGCACAGCTTTGTAAGGAAGGCATCGAGAGAAACCTGGGGATCACAGGGAGGCATGCAGAAAGTACAGTATCAGCATAAACTTTGACATTAGGCCAGGACCTAATACAGTAGTAATAATTACTAATCTAAGAAAATAATAATCTAGAGCTCCTGAAAATGGAGCACTATACTCTGGCCTGGTATCCACAAGAAGCAATTACAATACAGCAATGTCCCAAATAGGCCTTTCTACTTTTTAGGAAGTAGTAATATATTCCTTCCCAAAACACATCAGAAATAGAGTGTGAAGTTCGACAAATGAGAGCTGATCTTTTGAATACTGACACCTATTCTCAAGAAGGCAGCACTTGAGGTAAGTGATACATGTTAGATGAGGATATACGTAACTCGTAAAACCTCGGAGCAAATTGCTCTGTTAGCTGAATTCTGTCCAAGTTCCTGCTGTCCAGGACCTTTATTACTGATCTCTAAAGGTATCGTCTTGTGGATTTCTGCAAGATAGAACAGGAGCAAACCAAGACCCAATTTATACACTTCAGTTCATATTCATGCACTCACACAGAGAGTGCATCTTCAACTGCTACCTTAGAATAGAAATGGCCATTCATTCATTCAGGCTGCTACGTACTAGTCTGTATATTAGATATGGACTAATAAAAACAGTGAAATATATGTATAACACTATACATATTACTTACTTAACACTCGTAAGTTCTTAACTTATGATGGTTCACTTTATGGCAATCCAAATTAATGACAGCCTTGGAAAGGGTGCTTTACAATATATAAATATATACATTACACTATATAAAGCAAAGTTCCCCAACCTTTCTGGCTTTGCAGACGGGGGGGGGGGGGGGGGGAGAGAATGGTTCTGTGAGAGAGGTGGGCAAGCATGCACATGAGCACACAGCTCCATTTGCACGAGTAGTGGGCACAAATGTTGCTCACACAAATGGAGCAGGCGCACATGCGCTTGCCTGCTGCTCACACAAGGGCGACGTGTGTGCACGCACTTGCCTGCCACTTCCGCAGTCCACTTCTGAACAGCTCACAGCCTGGTAGTGGGCCGCGGCCCAGAGGTTGGGGACCCCTGATAGAAAGCCCTTCTGTGGTCATATGATTGCGATCCGGGTGCTTAGCAATTTGTTTGCCCTTATGACAGGTTGCCAAGCACCCCGTGATCCTGTGATCGCCCTCAACGGGGGAGTCAAAGAAGATGGCAAGCTACTATTGTCTGCCAAGAGTTCTGAAGGAACTCTGTGCCAAAATCCAAGCAGGCACAAGGCTGAACTCCTTTGGCAGGGAGCTCTTTCAGCCAGTTCCCAGGGCGAGAAGGAGCCAAAACCCAAGCAAGATTTTCAGCCATGACCAGAAAGCCAAATGCAGTTAAGGAGTCCAGGACGCCTCAGGGGACTGGAAGAGAGCCTAAGAGGTCCAGCGCAGACCACGTGCCAGTTTCTCCCTGTTCAGGGGCTGAAAACTCTGCTTGGATTTTAACAGGGAGGACTTTCAGCTCCTGAGTGGAGAGTTACGTGCCGGGCTCCCATAGTCTTCCCAACCTCAAGGCACTCCCACGTTCCTTATTTGAGACTCTTGTCTGCTTAATGACCTGCAACGTGTTTTAATGGCTGCAATTGTTAAGTGAACCAGTTGTATGACATCTCGCTTAACTGCTATGCTATACAACCAAGAGTTTGATCCCAGTTATGTTGAGGGTACCTGTATTACAAAAAAATAATTTGTAAAAGCAGCTTGGGTTCATTATTTCCACTTAGAGCTCCCCAAAATGGGTGTTTTTACTGCATTGCAAAAAGTAGACAAAACTGGAGCATCATGTAATTTGGGGGCAAGGTTTCCATAGTATGGGTCCCAACCCTTAAAACGCATTTCTGGGCTTCCGCTATTTTTCTCATGACATATTTGCGTAGCAACCGACTTAGCTTAGAAACAGACCAAGCTTTTCCACTATCGCCTTTTGTTGAGGTTCGAAGTATTTTAGGAGGTATCTTTTTTCTAAAATTAAGTTTAATTGAGCTAATAAAATAGCAATTATTTTGCTTACTTTATTACTTAAAAATCCATTTTAAAATGGAAATATAAAAATGGCTCCCTAGAATTTTTGAATACCAGTTGTACTAAATACTGGAATAGGAAAAAGAAAGACAAATAAGGAATGTAAATATATTACTTGTGAAACATGAGAACAAAACCAGAACATGAACTTACTGAAAATTTTCTACTGCCATACCGCCTTTCAAATATTCTGAAGTTGTAGATAAGTAAACTACTGCAGAAAGTGTCTTTAAGATCAAGGCACACTGTTCGTCCACACAGCAGCCTCCAAATCTAAAAGGTAACAAAACAGTAATCATAGTTTCCACTTGCATTTTATGGAAATTTAATATATAGCAGGCAAACTTTAGCAGCTGGTAGATGAACTTTAAAAAGCAGGGGGAGGTGCAGCAGGCAGGATGATATTGCAATGATGAAGAAGGCAAGTTTTTCTACAAATTTCCTTCTGTATTTCTGAAGACAATGAAGTTAAATATATGTTGAAACACCAATGTTTTGTTTTCTCTCATGAAATGGCAGGAAGTAGCATCAACGTTTCTGGTGGTTTGTCACTGAAATTCAGCATCCCCATTTCTGTTCAGGGACAGGAGGCAGATTCCATCTCCTGCCAACTCCAAAACATGTTTGTGTCATAATGAGAGACGACAAAATGTAGCTTCCAAATGTCAACTACTCTTTTCCCTAAGCTATTTTACCAAAAAAAAAAAGGGCGTATATGAATATATTCTTTTCCTTATAACCTTCACTTTATAAATTATATGTTAACTGAAGTCACATTTTCCAGTTATAGTTCTGCTCCATTTACCTACAGAAGTTCTTCCTACACTCCAAAAACCACCAGCCCATAGCACAGTAAAGGTGTAAAACACACAAGGGCACAACATGCTGTTAATAGTTGTCAAAAAGAATCCTTCTAGCAAGGACAGTGCTATTGTTGGAACAAGTATTACCTTTCATCTCCATTTAAAGATACAAGGAAATGAAAAATGTTAGCATGCTTCAGCTACCCAGGCTTTAAAGTATGCTTAAAGGTAGCTATAAATATTTTGCCCATGTTAACTTTTTTTCCTTGCGGCCCTATTATCAGATATTATTTTCAGAACAAGCTCCATACTACCGTGTTTCTCATATAATAAGTCCGGGTCTTTTTTTTTTTTTTTTGAGCCCCGAAAAAATGGCTAGGTCGTCTTTTTGGGGGTGACTTAATTCCCCCCCCTTGCATCTTCAGGCGGGCTGGCGGTGACAGCTTGGATGTTGACCTCGGCGTTGGTGGGGCACTTCGTATCGGGGTCAACACAGGCAGCACCATATCTGGGTGTGCAACAAAAGTACTTCCTAACGGCAAGCCCCCCCACACCATTCCCCCCCCATTTCGCATGTTTTAATATAGGCCTTAATTTGGGGGGAGGGGCTTAATTTCATTTCATGCCTATAAAACATGCTGGGACTTCCTATTGGGGGAGGCCGTATTGTTGGAGAAACAGGGTATATGCTGCTGAGCAAACCTATATTTTTTTTCTTCTGTCTTAATTATAAACACAGCAGGGAGAGGGAACAGATCTCTGTCTGAAACGAAACAAGGAGGACTTTCCCCCCAATTGCTGTATGCATCATTTTTCATTCATCCAGAGTCCAAAGCATTCTAAGTTAAGTTCAGCTGGGAAGAGAGCAAGAAAGTAAAAAAAGAACCACTACTGAGAGACAAGCAGAAACTGGCACTAGAAGGACTCCAATTCCTCATCACTTGTTCATTCCAACCACTTTCTACGTGCTTAAAGGCACAAGTTATCACTGTCATAAGTATTAACATAATTCCATTATCTCTATATCAATTTGAGGGTGGGAGAAAAAGAAAATAAGAATGGTCCATAGTCCCAGCCTTTCAGTTTTAACACACAACAAAGAATAACCCTTTTTTTCTCTCCCAAAAATGTGTGTGCAAATATACACTCATTTTTAGGCCAGGAATTTTGCTGAAAAAACTACCTGGAGTAGATCATAACCCTATGAATTAAGATGTATAGGGGCTGATGTCCCGGGTTTAGAGATGCCACCTAGTATAATGTATAAAGCACAAAATCTAGCAGTATTACTACTGTCAACTCAAGTTCCCCTCATCTGAAATACATTTGGGACAATGTTTTTCTCCACAGTTACCAGCATCACCTTTGGATTAACTCAACATCTTTGAAAACATTGTTATCTGATTTTAATTGTGAAGAGTTTCAACAAAACACACGTTAATTAATCGTTAGCAAAACTAACAAGAAATTAGAGGCTTCCTCCTTCCCACACTGCAGCCACAACTCATTTCTCACATATCTACATTTTACATGAATGTTGCTCTGCTATTGGTTGTGGTATGGAGTGCGACATCATTCTAAATTTAAAGTTCAAAATATTCACACCAGAACTCATATTAAAAAAATAAAGAACACCAGCCCCATGCTTATCCCATGTCACAATATTATAAATCAATTGCTGCTTACCTGAAATTCCTCTTTTACTGCTTGCAGATTGTAGGTAAAGAACTTTTGATAATGCTGAAAGAGTAGAGCCAGCAGTAGCGAGAAGATGCTTGGTATTATTAATAGACCCTTTGAGAGAGGTGCTTTATCTTCAAAAGAAAACAAAATACACACATATCCAATAAAGTTATGGTGAGGATTCTTAAAACAATTTAAAAAAGCAATCAAGTACTAATTTTTTTTAAAAAAAATATGTTTACAATTAAATCTATTACACTACTAAAAGAACTTTCCACCTCATATTATCCGAATTTTGGTTCAAGTTACGAAAACAAAACCAACTAGGTGCATGCAGGAACCACCTAATTCATTTCAAATGCTCAAACTAAGCCAGAAAATGATGCAGCACTTTGGCTTTGTCTGGGAAAATTCAGTCCAACCTGGTGCCTGAATCCAGAGAGTCTGCAAGAAACAAAATTCCAGTCTCCTATAGAAATGCCCTGGAAATATAAAAACATTCTCTTCCTTTTCTTCGATTAGAAGAAATCAGATTGAAATACACAAGCAAGTTAGAGCTTTGTAAAGTGTACTAACAAAATACCTGATGTACTTCTAAATTTTGATTTAAAGGAAAATAAATTGCTTACAATATTGTTATTCTCAGATAGATGATTACTCAATGTTCTTAGCATAAGCATTGGGGTGAGTGAGTGTTCAGCCCAACAGCACAGAGATCACAGAATAGAAACAGAAGAAACCTTACTATCAAAGAGTGTTCTACTATACAGGGGTCTTCAAACTTGACAGCTTTAAGACTTGTGGACTTCAACTCCCAGAATTCCTCCTCCAGTCATGTTAGCTCAGGAATTCTGGGAGTTGAAGTCCACAAGTCTTAAACTTGCTAAGTTTGAAGACCCTTGTACTATAAGGATGGATTTCTATTCTTTCTGTAAGATAAATGAATTGTTAGGTGAAATCAACACGAGATCTGGAAAAAAACAAGATGGAATTAAGGGGAGAGGGGGGAAAAGGACATTTACAATGCAGTAAATGGTATGTTGTCCTTTCTTCCCAAATGACTTCACTACCCATCTGAGATGCTGTAATTTGAATAAGGCAGATTGCTTGTAAGGCAAGGAAGGGATCTGATAGCAAGATCTCTATTGTCTTTCCAAATATACCACTAGTCATTAAGGGAGGAATAAGTTACTTGTGGAAGTCAATGTGTTTAGGATTTTGAGAACATGTTTTGGGAGCTCTTGCAAAATAACTGCCAGGGAAGATTCACCTAATCATAAAATCACTGGGATTGTTCCTTGCTATGCTGTTAAGAAACACTGAAGGTTCCCTATCACTCCTCTAAGTTGTTTTGTTTTCATTTTTCTTGATTAGTGGCATTCCTTTGGGCAAAGCACTGGGTTATAGCCAGCTACCATTTCCATTTGTTAAGAATGCCTGGAAAGTTCCTTTGTGGCTTGGGGCATTTTTATATATAATGAATACTTCAGCTTCCTTTTTTATAATTAACTGGGAAGAAAAAGTAGCTTATGGGATTTACATCTAATCATAGACTTAATGTGGAAGGTGAGAATGATAAATATTCATATTAATTTCTACCATGAGTGCAATATTTCCAGGTTAATTTTACTGCTTTGTTTATGCATACCTTATGCTCTACCTATTACAATGCTGTGGTTCTTATCTGGTGTTTTATTTCCTGTTACTTTATTAAAACAATTGTTAATAGTTTGTACACAGAAATATAGATGTATTTAATAATTTACCCAAAATTCTGCAATTTAACATTCTGATTGTTATATTCTAATCTCTTTTGCATACATTCCACATTCTACCCACTGAATAACTCAAATTCAGCTGTCATATAAATGAAAGGGGCATGAATTCCATTTTAGAATAACACTATTCCACTGTATAAATTAAACAACTGAATTAAAGGGAGATTGTCCTTCTGTTATACACTCTCAAGATTAGAAAAACGTTTTGAAGTATGAGTACATGCCATTTAAAAAGATTTAAGAACTATTGAAATATATATATATATTGATTTCCTAGAATGGTATAAAAATGACAGTCTGCTAGAAAAATACTATTTAAACAATGCCTCTTAAAACTGCTTCAATGTTAACAGTTCCAAGAGGGGGGGAAACATTTCCTCCTCTATTTAAGAAAGGATGTTTTTATATTAAGAGATGTTAATGGATAAACTCTACTTGAAAACAATGTGTAAAGCAAATTATTCTTATTTTGCCCTTAGTGTAGGTGTATCAAACTCGTGACATGTCATCACATGATATATCGCAATTTTTTTCCCGTTCACTAAAATGGGTGGGTGTGGCCAGTGCATGACGCATCTGGCCTGCGGGCCACAAGCTTGACACCCCTGCCTTAGTGCAACACATGAATTAAGCTTTGTACATTTTTTAACAAATCAGGATTAAAGCAAGCTCTGCTTAAGGATATGAACATAGACATAGTGAATTGGTATCCTCATATAATGTTATTTGCATCAACAAGCATTTTCTGTAAAATCACATTAGCATCATATATTAATATTTCTTTCATATCTTCATTATTTTTTTTAATCTGGTCTAATTTAGATCACTATAAATATACTATAAGCACTGGGCTCATATACAATTCACTAACCATGCAGAAAACTTGAAGACATTCTATTCAGTAAACCACGTTGTTATGTGAACATTATGGTTTATTTTAGCTCAAGATAATTATCAAAAAAGGAAATATCAAACTGACCATTGCTAAGTTCAACTAATTACCATATTGTAGAAATATAGTTGTTCTTTTTGTACAGAACACTCAGGTTCTAGTTTTTAACTTACATTGTTAGCCACTTTGCACTTGTGCTTAATTTACCTGGAGAACTAACTGAACAGTTCACAACCAGCTCAAAGTTACTAGGTTCCTGCATTGTACAATACCATTTAATTGGGGAAAGGTATTAGAACAATTTCTCACCTGAACTGGCATGTTTCTATATTTGTTCAACATGTTGGGCTAGAAATAGTCCAGTAAAAGGTGTTGTGCAATTGTATCTAGTGAGTCATGGAAATGTAAGCACAGATTTGATTCACACACCACATTAAACTTTAAAATAGTTAATCTGGTTTTGTGGCTTAATGTTTTGTGAACCCTGTCACTGTGGTTTCTAAACCATGGTGCATGGTTTAATGTACTTATGCAAACATAGCAACTTACAGTGGCTTAAAACCATTCACTAGGTAATTTAATTAGGTCACAGTTAAAATTTATTTTAATCCCTGCTGGCCCAATCCTATGCATTATTGTTTGGAATAAGTTTATTCAATATAATTTATATCTGGAGGGGGGGAACAGTAGTGTTGGTAATGAAAAGCTGGACTTTGGTATCAATGGGATGCTTTATTCTGTATGAGTTTACACTCTCCAAGCAGAAGCAAGTTTGCAGTTTGAATGTACTCCCTGATCCCAGCTGTAACTGGACTTTCAAGTAGCAGCTGTGGTGAGGACCATGTTTACACAACTATGATCAGAATGCCAACTGCAAACTTTCCCGAACCAGCCAGATTTAACAGCAGTTATCCAGCCCTTATTACCACCCAACCTGATTATAGCAATGCACGTGGGGCTTCCCTCGAAGTGGATCCAGAAAATACAACTTGTGCAAAATTCAACTTCTAGGTTGATGACAGATACAGTATATAGGAAGCATCATGATACCATATGAAAGATCTGTTCTAGTAGCCAGTTGTCTAGTGATTATAATTCAAAGTATCCATATTGCTCTATAAGGCCCGACTTTACAGCTTAGGGACTGCTTATCTCTCCTACTAAAAAACTACTAGTAAAAGTGAAGATATCTTTGTTATTGGAAATTCCATTATTGGTATGCAAGAATAGGTTTGCATTTAGCAAGCTGACTAGGGAATTCTGGGTGTTGAACTTCACAGCTCTTAAAATTGCTAAGGTTGAGAAACCCTTATGGCCACCCACTTGACTGTCAAAATTAGAAAGTTGAGGAAACCACATCTCTTCCACCAAGTGTTTGTTACTTAAATGTTAGGTTTTAATTCTAACTGTTCTGTTTACATTTTGCACCTTTTCCTGTTGCAGGCCACCTGGATGGTAACAGAATGAAAAAATGGAGCACAGGTAGTCCTTGACTTACAACAGTTTATTTAGCAACTGTTTATCAGTACCTTATTAAGATGTGAAAAGATGTGAAATTGCAATGCCTCATTCAGATATATAATAACATATTACAGTACAATCCATCTCTTGTGTATTACACTCGGCAAAGCATCACGGTCAGTGTTGGATGTATATTTTGTGTATATTCGTAGATATTGTACTCTCTAACTGCAAATGGAGATGCAGGTACTCTATTTTTCTTATCTTCATCTTTAAGTGCTCTGGTTTTATTGTATTGCAAACAGTTGCTGGGGTGCATCCACAGTTTCGTTGTACTTGTACAATGACAATAAAGCTGTTGTTGTTCCTCCTCCTCCTCTTCTTCTTCTTCTCCTTCTTTTCTTCTTCTTCTTTGTTTAGCAACCGTTCAAAGTTACAACAGCACTGAAAAAAGTGGCTTGACCCCTTTTCTCACTTATGACAGTTGCAGCATCCCCACGGGCATGTGATCACAACTTAAGATGCTTGGCAACTGATTCATATTTATGATAATTGCTATGTCCCAGGGTCCTATCATCAACTCTTGCAACCTTCTGACAAGCAGTCAATAGGGAAGCCAGATTCACTTAACAACTGTGGCAAGAAAAGTTGTAAAATGGGGGCAAAGCTGACTTGACACATATCTCACTCAGCAACTTAAATGTTGGGCTCACTTGTGGTTGTTAAGTCGTGAAGTACCTATAATATAAATCCAATTATAAAGAAAAAGATAAGGAGCTATGTTTCTCTTCATTTACAAGATTGTAGGGTACATTGGAGGTGGTGACACTTTGAGGGCTGTATGCAACAGAATTTCATTTTAATGTATGCCAATTAATGTGCATTCAAAGTGACAATGAAGTTATTCTGAGATTCACCCTGGGGGAAGACACCAAGCAAAATCTTCGCTGAAAGCATACATCAAAGCAGCACTGGCTAGAAAGGAGAGCGCTGCTTCACCTCTATTCAGGTTAATTTAACCCAGGGGGAGGGGGGGTTTCTCCAAACTTGGCAACTTTTAAGACTTGTACACTTCAACTCCCAGAATGCCACAGCCATTTTGAAGACCCCCCTTATTTAACTGAGTCGCAAGAGCCGCTCGAGATATTCCCGAAGTCAGAGATCTCCAACCTTTGCAACGTAAAGACTTCAACTCCCAGAATTCCCCAGCCAGCCAGCACGGTATCCAACCTGCAGCATGGCTGGCTGGAGGAATTCTGGGAGTTGAAGTCCATAAGTCTTAAAGTTGCCAAGGTTGGGGACCCCTACCCTAAGCCGATATGACTTTAAAGCCACGTTCCTCCCCTGGCTGGCAAGAGGCGCCCCCGCTCGGGCCGGGAAAGAGCACCGGGGTGGAGGTTCAGCCCCTGAAGGGAGAGGCCGTTCCCACAGCTAAGCAGGAAGGCAAGGAGTCGCCTCACCGCGCCGCTCGGCTCCCGACCTTTTGCCCTGTGGAGCGGCCCCTCCTCCCGGGCGGGGGAGGCGCGTGGATACTTACACAGCCCGCTGGAGCCCGTGCTGGTGAACATGGTCCCTGGCGGGGAGGGGGGCAAATGGTTGCCCTGGCGATGCGCCTGGCCTCGGGAAAGCCGCCGCTCCGCTGATTTCCCAGCCCCCCTCCGGAGGCCGAGCAGCCTCGGAGACGGCCGGGCCGGGAGCTCCTCCTAAGGCGGCCGGGATGGGTCAAAGCCGGCAGGGCAGGGAGAGCCCCGCACAGCGCCCCCTGCCGGAGCCTCCGTTTCCTCTTCTTCCCGGACGGGCGAGGTCGCGGTTTCTCTCGGTCCTTGCACGTCTCCGTCTAAATAGGCCTCTGCCTCTTTGGGGTGGGCGGCTCGGATTGAAGTCAACCTAGCTGAGCGCGATAGGAGTCCCGGCCTGCTTGGAAATGCACAGGGGAGCATCCCGTCGAGTGGCCCCGGTGACTCTGCAGTCGCGCCCATGGACGTTTCCTTGGCATTGGCAGCGCTGCGGAAGGGCCGGCTGGGGTTTCCCTTCTGTTTTGTTTGACTTCCCCGTCCAGCCTACGTGCTTGGGGTTTCCCTAGATTCGAGGAGTCGCCCCTTGTTGACCCTGCATATAGTATTCAAGGTCAGCGGGATGCTGCCATCTGCTGCGGAACTGCAGCCTTGGAAGTTAAGGTGCAACCTCGGTGCGTATTTGCAGAGAAAATCTCAACCGTGGAAGTGGTTGCAAGGGTCCTTTGGGTGCAGCCGGGGAATTCTGGGAATTGAGGGTCACCTGCCTTGACAGGTGTCACCTGTCTGATGTTCACTTGTCTGAAATGATATAAAGATCTGCTGCTTGAGCAGGGGGCTGGACTAGAAGACCTCCAAGGCCCCGTCCAGCTCTATTCTGATTCTGTCTTAAAGTTGCCAAGGTTGAGAAATGCTGGTGTAAACTACAGGGAGTCTCAGCTTACGACTGCAATTGAGCCCAAAATTTCTGTTGGTAAGTGAGACATGGGTTAAGGGAGTTATGCCCCATTTTTACGACCTTTCTGGCCACAGTTGCTAAGTGAATCACTGAAGTTGTTAAGTTAGTAACCCAGTTGTTAAGTGAATCTGGCATCCCCATTGACATTGCTTGTCAGAAGAAAGCAAAAGGGGATCATATGACCTTGGTACACAGGAACAGTCCTAAGTGTGAACCAGTTGTCAAGCACGGTTGACAGTTGTCAAATAAGGACTCAGATTATGCTGACTCTGTAAATTGCTTAGAGAGGGCTGTAAAGCACTGTAAAGCGGCATATAAGTCTAAGCGCTATTGCTATCTAATTTTGATCACATGACCATAGGAATGCTGGAAAGGTTATAACTGAAAAATAGTCATAAGTCACTTTATTCAGTGCCGTTGTTACTTTGGTCACTAAATGAACAGTTGTAAGTTGAGGGCTACTTGTACAGGGCTTAATCACTTAGTATGTTATGTAAAGCCTGTAGCTCTTGAGCTTCTGAAATGTGCTTATGGATGAAAAGGAGATTCCTATCCGTGTTAATAATTAGGAGGAAGGGAAACACAGATTAATCAAACTGGGCTGCAAAATGGCATTTGTTTCCTGTGTCTCAATAAAGAGTTGAAATCATCACATGCACACATTTTCATGCCTCCCATTTTTAATGGTAAACGTATATGCAGTTTGCCTTCTTTTAAGCTGTCATAGCAGGGCAATACAGATATTATGACATGTATGGGGGCATGGTATAATACAAAAGGGCTCCCTCTTTCTTAGGACTCCATTGTTCTATGTTAAAAACCAACGTAGAAAAGACATCTAAACTGGTAAAATTAATGCATGCCTCAAAGAAAAGTAAAACTGTTAATCATTGGAATGAAATAGGATAATTGCAACAATTATTTGTAACAACTCACTGTAATATGAATTAAGGACAAAATCCTGCCTACCTATCAAGGCGGTTTTATGGGAGCCAGCTCCTGTGTAATTTAGGCCACTGGGGGCTTTTCTGGACACAGAGCTAAATCTGGCTAAATGAGTTAGGATTTAAGAATAACGAGTGAAATCAAATCCTTCTTTGCCATTAATTTATGACAGGCTATGCACATTACTCAGATTTCCTTGGAGGAGGAATTGTATATTAGTAATGGATGATAATAATGGTGGCTATATTATAGAGTTTGAGATAAATATTGAAACTATATATATATATATATATATATATATATCTCAGCGAAAGATCGGAAGAGCGTCGTGTA